AGACGTATATTTCAAGTTAGCATGGACGTAATATCAGAAACCTGCCAAAACTGTTTGGTTTTTAAAATCTTAGGCCATTTAAGTGAAGCAGAATACATTAAAGCATAGTGATTTCATGACAGTGTAACGAGAATGAAACATTATTAACACCAATAATTTGATGCTGCACTTTGCACTTCCCTTCCACAGCACTTGAACAAAGCAAAGAAATAACACAATACAACAACCCAAGCTAAAGCAAACAAAAAACAATAACAAATTAACAGCAGAAAATTTAATAAGGATAAAACACTCAAGCAAAAAAACCTTGGGCTCCCACATATCAGCACATCAACAAGTCCAACACCATAGGCAAACCTCTGGCCTCTGTTAAGATGGGCTCATGGAAAACAAACATTTTGTCACTGTTTCTTACAAAATACCAATGCTTATTTCCATGAGAGTAGCCTAACCATGCCCAACCTAAAGAGGCCTCACTTTATCTCACCCTGTCTAACCTGCTTGTATCACAGTAGCAGTTGTGAATTACTGATTCTTGCACAATTCTTATTGCCACTTGCCATGCACTTAACTAACTTAACCTTACTTAGAGTAGCCCATATGTTGAACATCGTCTCAACTCACCCTTCCGTTGACAGCAGCACTTGTGATAAAAACATGATAAAGCTAACTTCTGGCTGGTTTCAACTTGCATTTTATTCACTTCATTTGTGTATCTTGTTGACATCAGACAAGGCTGACAACACACAAATCAAAACACTTTAAATCACTCTAAACAACTTATTTTGACTGCCATGGCTAACGTTTGTCAAAGACAATAATGAGCATGCTCCACAAAACAATATCTCTTTTCCACAAGTAACATAGCTTTTAGATGACCATGACGGTATTACTGCTTGCCTTTTCAACTGCAGCAAAGTCATCTATTTAGGCTTGTTTATTTATATTTAATGACAAAGTCTGAAATGTTAGCCTCGTATTTTAGATGATATGGTCTGACTATTTGTTTCATGCTAATATTTAACTCATATTATAATTGCTATGCAGCTTAGAGTTTCCCTGTGTTAAAAACATGGTGCATATATACAGTACAGTCATTTGCCAGTCAGAAAACCATGACAACTATCGAAAACATCTAATTAAAGCGGCCATGAGGGACCGCTTCAAGAAATCTGGGGCAAATAATCAACAATATGGAACAAAATAAGTTCATTGCATGCCTTGTGGCATCATAGTTTCTTATGACACAACTCGATGAACTAAAGCAGAAAATGGCTAACTCTGATTACCAATCATGTGTTGAAAGCGGGTAAGGCAAGCAATTACTTGGTCCGCAGCAAACTTACTGACTTCTTCCTGCCCCTCCCCCTCCCAAAAAAAGTCGGTACCTTTTGCATGGTTTGCTGGCAGACAGAGTCATCCCACTAACCCCAAATATAAATATAAATCATGCCCACCAATCTGCAATATTAAAATACGAAACAAGTAGAGGTGTGCATGATAAACATCTCCAGAGGGTAGAATTTCGCCATCAAACACTTCTGTATTAGCTGCGTCAGGTCTGTCCCACAGCTCCGTATGGCAACATTGGGATAGTCTTGCCAGGTAGCCTGGCGAGTTAAGACACTCGAAAGGCTTACATTTATCATCATTGAGCACAGCCATGATCCAGGATAACGGTTAACCGAGGGTTTCACAGGGAAAAAATGGCGGTAAAAATAAGTTCCGTGATTCAAATTGTCTCCTTCATTCCCTGTGAACTGTTCACTCTTGGGCGGATATCAAACATGTTTGGGCCGATGGCGAATTAATCCAATTTATGCATGAAATACGTACAAGTTTGCAGTTGGAGCATCTTGCAGAAAAATTGGTCCACATTTTAAGCAAAAGATGATATCTCTAAAGAATACACAAGGAAGAAAGAATAAAGTGGTATCACACTCGTATGATACCCAAAAAACAACAACAAAAGTAGTTAAATAAATATAAAGACTGACGCATTTTTGGCAAAATTTTGTGATCAGCTGATTTGACTTAAAATCTGCTAACTTGATTGCTCAAGTGATGATATTCATCTTGCAAATTTAATTTAGAAGACATTTCTTGAATTTTTCACTCCTGCCTTTTGGGGGTGATGCAACTTAGTAGTCAAGTTTTTTTTTGGGAAAAAGAAATACTTGGAGTAAACTTCTCTACCAGGCTTTGCTGGTGTTTGCACCAGGCTCTGCTTTCGTGGTGTGGTGGTGAGACCAAAAATGCATGAAACGGCGATGCGTGAAGACCTTGTATTTGGCACACAGCTGCCGATCGTGATGCATTTTGTAAACAAACCACACTTAATGCGTGCAAGCGGCTGGAGTCGCTGGGGCTCTTGGGCTTGGAGGTACCTGACGCCCGTGCTCTGCGCATATATAGACATGGTTCAGATGTAGGTGAGGCAGGACATAGCCATAGGTGTCTAGGTTCTGTGGAGCCTCGTTTATGCGTGGTGGTTTCAAGTAAGCTCGGTTTTGGATGACATCTGAAAACCTCAGAAAGGGAAATGGAGGTTTGGCATGTGCGATTAGACAATGTCAGGCAGGAGGGAAAAATTCACATAAATTTTGGGGAAAAGGAGTTAAAAATTTCTCCCCATAGGGTGTTGGTTTGCACCCAAGGTCGGCAATTCTAGGACACTGACCCGGGTACATTTTAAATGTACGATTTTATGTCCTAAAGCCTTCAAAGGTGCTGTTCTAAACGCGTCACCATTTTCGTCCGCCCGTTGTTGACGGCTGGGTGTTAGCTGCGGGGTCGACATGGAGCGTCCTACAGAGACTTCATCGCCTAGCGCTGAAATTTCTCTTGCAATAAATTTCTGTTCTGAGATTTGTGAGTGCGCATGCTCAACATTGCGTTACATAATTTGTACTAATAGATTCGGACTAGATGTTGAACATTTCTAGACAAACGTTGGTTCGCCATGGTAGCAAATTGTTGGACTCAATTCGATCTGCATTCGCGCTGTCCTTAATATGTCTGTACAACTGATATACAGATTCTGACTAAGCTTTTGAGATATATTGGTTGGGAGAGTTCACTGAATCATCGTAGAATGATGACCGCCGGAGACTTATTTCATACAGGCGCTTAACGCACGACAATTTTTGTTTATTAACTATGAACTTCAGGCAGAATTGATCTCGAGATAGCTTCTTCCTTCTTTTCCAGTCATAGCAGATGAACGTGAAGAATATTCAAGAAAAACATGGTCTCATTAACGAGTGGGCCATACCCGTGATTTGTTTTTTTAGGGGGAGGGCACCTTTTGATATCAGGGAGCCCTTTGTCAGCCCTGTGCCCTCCCTTTGCTAAGGTTCTGGCTATGCGCCTGGTGGCACGTCAGCTGCCATTGCACCAAGATCCCAGTACTTATCGCGCGGGTGGCATGAACACCATCAGTACCCGTCACGTCACATAGATGGCGGTAAGTAAGAAGCGCCTCGGCGGCACACCAAGCACCACGTATGCATGCAATATGCATTCCAAGGTTATCAAAACAACTGGTCCCTGGCTTTTCCTGCTCCCGGTGCCAGAAACCAGACACAATTTGGAATTGGTTCCTGAAAGGAAATTGGGGGGGGGGGGGGGGGCGCCTGCCGTACCAGAGAGGGGACCAGAGAATGATATATCCCACGGAGGGCTCCCGTCCCGACCAAAGGTCAACTGTTCTCGTATCGCCTGAATGCCAGCCCGGGATGAGCCGGAATGCTCTCCAACTTCTGACCGGAACACCTCACCTGTGCGCCTTCGAAGTTAAACGTTCTCTGAGGGGAATTAGCAGCTACAGCAATGCGAGCAAGAGAGATTACACCATTGCGTCACGACTTCGTGGTGCTCCACTTCGCAATCCGTATCAGTTGGAAAATCACGTAGTTGTTTTCACCCAGGATACCTCATACTCTCATATCAACGGATCTGCTAAAGCGTTCGATGTACCGCTTTCCGATAAGGGGCCATTTTCGCCCGCTCGTTGACCGCCGCGGCGCGTTGTTGCGAGGCCGCCGCTGTAAGGCCCATGCAGGCTGCAGAGCTGGGCATGGTGTTTTTTCCCTCAGACAGCGACTGCACGCGCTTAAAACTATTTTATTATTTTCTTCACTGATGGGTTCAACAGAAGATGCGGAATTTCCGAGGCGAACGAGGTTTGGACATATCAATAATACTTTTTGATCTAGTTCGATCTACGCTAGCGATCAGTTCGCGGGGCCATCGGCATCTTTGGAAAACCCGGAGAAATTCCGGTCATGGCTGACTGTTGTTGCGTGAGAAAAAGGTACAGATGAAACATTTTGGGATGAATGAAGTCTGCTGTTTTCTTGGTGAAATAATTTATGACCCGCTTAATTCCACAGTATTTCGTTTTGAACATGCTTTAAATAGTACATCCTGGTAGATTCTAGCTTTTCGTTCAGTCAACTGCGTTTAACAAACAACAAGCTGTCACCTAGAAAGTGTGGTGAGCTAAATCTGGCGGACAATGCCGACGGAGAATTGTTTGCCAAACAAAAAATATGAAAATGACAATAAATTGTCTGAAAACCGGAGACTTCTGTGAGGGGTGGGCACTGAATCAAGGGGACATCGCAATGAAGAGTGGTCCCTCCGTTTATAGAATCCTGGATCCGTCCCTGCTCGATTCCGTCGGAACGTCCCTACCATCCCCTATCAGTGTGTTATCAAATGTCAATATCCGTTATCGGCGTTATTTCAGTACACTCGCAAAAGTGCGACGGTCTACCAAACTGAACTGCCCGGAGAGGATCACCATGCACTGCATGTCGAAATTAGTTTCTCTGGCGTCATTGAATATTGCTGCAGCGTATAGTCAGGATAATCCGGATAGAGTGAGCCGTCCTGAAAGGGTAGTAGCTATGCAGTGATGTAGCCAACCGTGGTTGGCACTCTGCAGTCACAGTCATCGTACACCACGAAAAACGGCTACGTTGCGAGCACACACTTACAAACATTATATTTCATAAACGCTCGCAAATTACTCGCGCACGCCTGCATCTATCTATCGCAAAGGAGCTGCTTGAGATGGTGGCAATACAAACGGCAGGCGGTCCAGAGCAACCAGCTAAATTTTGCAAAGCGGCTATCACAATTGCACGCATACTCATAACAACAGCGAACACATCACACGCCCATCACTGCATGGCACCAACAACATTCTGCTATCTGATAAAACCTAAACGTGTTTGCAACGCCCTTCGGGCACCCATTTTGGTCGCGTGCGAAATCGCACCGGCGCCAACAGCTTTCGAGTGGGATGTACCAATGCAGCGAATCTGGCTGGTCCTCGGCGCTGAAGCAGATAGCTCCCGAAACAAGGATGGGATCTACTCCCACGTGCACGTGGTGCGTGTGCGCGAGAGGCAGCATGGCAGAGGCTCTTTGGACACGCCTGGCTGGCGCGCGGTCAGTCCAGAGCACCACACGGACAAGATCTTCGGCAGGTCCGGCCGCAGCGCCGCATTCTCACTCTCACGAGTCTTGGCCACGGGTCGCGTTCGGCTGCTGGGGTGCGCTGCGCACGCATCAGCCCCCGCCGGCAACCTGAGCCTGCTGGAAAATCTTCAAAAACTCCCGCACGTCGTCTGTGTCACCCATGTTTTTGTACACCCACAGGCCCCACTCGAGTCTGGACGCTTCGTTGAGCGCCTTTGACTTGAGACACGAGTTGAACCGCCTGCCCACCTCGTACTTGCTGCACTGCTTCTTGTGATAGACGTGCACCAGGTCGGGGTCGGGCATGCGCACGATGCCCACGCTGCTCTTCTGGAACTGCTCGTATAGACGCACGTCCTCCAAACCCCAGCCGGTGATGTTGAGGAAGTCGCCACTCAGCCGGCGGAAGTCGGACAGGTATTGGCAGCTCATGCCGAAGCCGAAGTCGATCCAGTATCCGAGATCCCGGTTTATGAGTCTCTTGCGGTCATAGTTGGTGAGCACAGGCACCGGCTTCTTTTTTATGACGCTGTAAACAATGTCGGGGTTGTACGAGCTGAATACCACCGGGAAGTAGGCCTTCTGCGCCGGCTGCGTGTTAGCGCGGCACCGCTGCAGGAAGCTCTTGCCGAATGCGATGTCAACATCGCAGAGGAAGAGGATGACGTCCTGGCGCGAGTCCCAGGCGCGCGCGCCCTCCATCAGGGCGGCGCCGCGCGAGAAGATAGCGTGCTTCTCCACCAGCCGAATGCGAGACTCGCCGCCGCCCATCTTGAGGTTGGCCTCGTTGATGCACTTCACCACGTTGTCGTGGTCGCGCTTGCCCTCGTCCTCACCCATCGTGGGGAAGCCGTCCGTGTAGCGCACCACCGTCAGCATCAGGTGCTGCTGCCCGTCCAGCACCAGCTTCGTGAACCGGCTGACGAAGCGGTCGAGCGTGGTGAAGCGGTTGTAGTAGGGCAGCACCACGTTGATCAGCTGCGTGCCGCTGCGGCCGCTGTACTGCACGACGAGCGGCATCAGCCGGCGCGCCAGCCGCACCGTGTGGAAGCCACCGGGCACGGCGTCGCGTGACCGGTAGTACACCTCGTACTGCACGCCGGCGCCGGGCAGCAGCCGGTACCGGCCGCCCAGCGAGTCGGCTGTTGAGTACGCCTCGTCACCGGTGCGCAGGCGCAGCTCGACCAGCGAGGTGTTGAGCACGGCAGCGAGCTCGTGCGACTCGGGCCCCGGCAGCGGGCCACGCTGCACGCCGCTGGCGCCCGGCACGATCACCTGTTTGTCCCAGCGCTTCAGCAGGAAGAAATGCCATGGGTACGGGTTCACGCTGCCGGAGGAGCGCGCTGTCAGTTACTGGGCGGGTGACATGGGGATATTTCAGGGTTATCGGGCAGAGTCACACTCAGGAAAACTATAGTGCTCAGAGCATATCAATGACATGCAGGCAACTTCAAGCGTGGTTCTCAATGCTGGCTGCCGGCTTGATTCCTGGCTCCTGGCTGCTGGCTCCAAGCTCCTGACTTTGGCTCCGGCTTCACACTCCCGCCGCTAATCCATTCATGCAAAACAGACCCTAGATTCGGGTTTTCATTGGTTATTCTGCAAACACCGGCTGCTAATTGTATGGTTCCTTTGCGAACGTCACCCCTTGATTCCCAGTTCACAAGGGTTTTCGTGCAAGAACCAAACAATGGTTCCTGCTTTCCGCTGATTCTTTCAGAGACACCGGACCACGCTTCCAGGCTTCTGTTGTTGTTTTTTACCAACACCAAACCCTATTTACCAATTCCCCTTGTTTCTTCTACGAACACATCCTGGCTCCCAATGCTGTTTTGGCAAAGACCAGACGAGACGTCTGGTTTTCACTTGTTAATTGCAAACATCGGACTCTGGTAACTGATTCGCAATCGTTTACACACAGGATACCAGAACCTTGTTGTCGGTTTTCACTGACTCAGTCCCAAATGCCAGCTTCATTACAATTTGGCACTCACCACGCATCAGATCTATCATCTCATCTGACAGGTATGGACATCATTTCGTAATATGACTTGCTGAACGTGCATATATTTTTATATGACAATATCGAGTGGTCCAAAACTAAGGAGAAACAGACCATAGAATACCGTATGGCCCTGGACTCAGAGCAAAGCTGCTTTCCCAACCTGAATGACGAGCCTGACTCTTTACCTCGTTTGACTGTGTTGCGTCACATTTAACTACTTTGCATTAAGGCACTGTGGTCGGCTTATGTGACAATCTTTCACGCTGATTGTATTGCCGTGAAGTTGAAATGCACTTAATAAACACCTCTGAACATAGTACGTGGTGTTGGAGGTTTTGATTTGAGATCAACTTTTATGACCTTAATATTTGCCGTACCTGATGACTTCCTTACTACATTATCATTTCGTGCAAAAGACTTAATGAAAACAGCTGACGTGCGGACCGACGGGCCGCCATGGTAGTAGCCGTCGTAGCCATTTAACATGCACTGTTTGCTTGACGTACCCGGGCGCGGTGTCGAACCGTGAGACGTTCGCCGCCTGCAGGAGTGACGCCACCGGCACGTACTCCGGCCATCCTGCGGACATGAGCACACACGTGTACACACATGACCCTCGGCGCGCAGCCAGGGCCTTGGAAGGGGGCACAGGGTGAACAGAGGGCCCCTGATAGTAAAGCCCGCCCCCTACAACAAATCGCCGTATATAGCGCATTGGCTAATGAGGGCATGTTTTTGTTTGACTTTTTTCGTTTTACCTTTTATGACTGGAATCGACGCCGGAAGCTATCTCGAGATCAAGGCTGCTCGAAGTTTTGTCGATCAACTGAAAAAATCATGCGCTTTACGACTGCATAAAATAGATCACCGGTGCTGTCCATTTCATAATGGTTCAGTGACCTCACCTTAAAGACATGGAGCTCAGAAACTGCCAGAAATTTTATTTGGGTTGCACAGAAATATCAAACACCACGCGAAAGTAGATTTAAGATGAAAATGGGTCAACAAGTCGCATTCTGAACATGCTCAACAGTCGCTTAGATTCGATTAGTGATGCAATTTATCTAACGTAGTTTTGACCAGGCGCGCTCGCACATCCTAGAAGCAAAAATTCAAGGTCCGGTGTTGCAGTCTCCATGGGCCACGCAGCGCTGGTCTTGCGGCTAACATTACATTGTGGCCAACAGGCGGACGTACACGGTGACGCATCTTAAAGAAGTAACCTTGAACGTTTAGGACATACAAACGTACATTTAGGAAATATTCCTGGGGTATATTTTACCGGTGATATCTTTTAGATTGGTGATACTAACGGATTAGTCTTTAGAGCACCGCGAAGTTGTGCGAGAATCTGGTGGTGGAAATGGAAGAGCATATGCAGAATCTCTATTTTTGCGTTGCTGGAACTATCAATCTGTCCAGAGGACAACCTTGAGGATTTAGAAAAGATTCGCCGGTCTAATCTTTGAACTGTACGAATTTATCTTAACAGACATTCAGAAGCATTATTTGACAATGGTCTCTCCTGCGCGCACGACACCGCTGCCTGGCATTACTCGCAGTGGCCATTGCCGTTCGGTCTCACGAAAACTACAACTCAGGTCATCGTTGTCCATGCTCCTGATATTGTGGGCCCCCAGGATGAAACCTGTTAAAGAAATTTGCTTCACAAGTCGGTTGTGCAAAAGAATGGACGCACTCAGCCAAACAAGGAACGGCCTCGTGCATTTTTAACTTATTTCGGCACATTCTATGCATCCCTGATGGAAGCCTTTATTTCTTTCCGTGAAAGGGCCCTTTGAATAGAAGGCTACGGGGCACATTATCGTTCCCGGCCGAGGGCTGACGGGCCACTCTGTTTCACCGCGCTGTGTCCTCCGACTGTCATTCTGGCAGCACGCGGCGGGATCCCCTGGCAGATCCGGAGGTCATTAGGATACATTATACCAAATTGGTCCGTTCCCTGACGCCAGAGGCCATCTGACCCGCGCAGTTGACCTCAGATCAACGCAGGAGCCCTCATTGACGCAACAACATCTCTCATCACCGCGGGTGGTCAAATAATTGGCGCTAGACTCCAGTTTGGTTTAACGGGCCCATACTGGAATTGGTTTGGAAGGCCTGCCGCTCGGCACTGGGGGCTTTGACAGGCGCAGCAACCTTCCATTGCCTCAATGTGAGCACCCATCATAAGCTTTTATGTTTCCTCTCATGTGTTTCATGTTTCCTTTCACCGGGGTCCGGTGCCTCTGGCAGAATCAGTGGGAGGCAGAAATCCTTGTTCGGTCCTTGCAAGCTGGGCATCACGGGCTGGTGTTCACAAAATACGGCGGCACACACACACACACACACACACACACACACACACACACACACACACACACACACACACACACACACACACACACACACACACACACACACACACACACACACACACACACACACACACACACACACACACACACACACACACACACACACACACACACACACACACACACACACACACACACGCACACACACGCACATACCACATATATATATATATATATATATATATATATATATATATATATATATATATATATATATATATATATATGCATGTATATATGCATAGGTATTTTGGATGATAATATTTTTCTGCACGTGTTATGACAGACCAACACGTCCCCTGTCCCAACTTTTGTGTTTTGGCGTGCAATCATGTGACTAAAAAATGTAAGTCCCACCTTACCATAGAGGACAAAAATATTATACAACAGCTCATGCTGCATTTTTATCAGAATGTTCATAGCTGGCTTACAGTTAAGGGCAGTCTAAGGTACACTGAGTGCTCTCATTGTCTTGAAGAGCAAATGCTGCATATGATTCCCACAATGATGTGTCCTCTAAAGCTATCTTAGCCGCCATTTCCACTCCACCTGCTTTGGTGTTTCCTGCCATGGTTTCAATGGATGGAAGTAAGAGTTATAAATTACAAGGCTTGGTAGTTATGAGGAATAGGAATATGTGTAGTAGCATTCAACTAACAAATATCTATTTGGCGGCTGGTTTTCTAACGTGAAAGCTAGCTTTTGGGGTTCAGTTATTCAGTGTAGCTCATGATAAAGCATTTGTATTCTCCTTATCCCGAAAACCTACCTGCCAATACTATTAGGGAGCGTGGTTACATTGACCATGGGTCTGCCAGGTATTCTAGGCGTTCAAGATCAGTCAGAGAAGTCTTCCAAGTCTTTATATTTTAGGGTAACTGTGCAGTACCAGTTTGTCGTCATGACACTTATCGTTATGTCAACCATCCTGTTTCTTTCAAGCACAACTGCGTGCCATGCAGGGGTGTAGTTCTCTATTCACCACGGGTGGTGCAGTTCCAAACTTGGAGGGAGGTACCCCCGTCCTCCGCATTTATTTTGCAGAACTACACCCCTATTCCCAAGACCCGAGAAACATGCGTACATGTTGGTAGACTATCCACAGGTGACAGAGGGCTGAAAAGAGAGGTGCTTCAGATTTCAAGATCATCACTTGTGGTTGTGTCACGCGATCTGTCCGCGGACCAACGACAGATATCCGGTGCATTAGCTGTTCAAACACCCGGGCGGACCCAGCGTCTTGCATTGGTACCGCAGTGACAGCCTTGTGCGGACGTGCGCGACGCACTACTCGAGTCGATACATGCTGCAGTTCGGCAGCGCCATGACAGGCCAACACGCCCACTATCCCAACTTTTGACCGGCGCATCGGTTGACGACCAGGACGTACCTCGGAAAAAGGTCGTACCGGTGTCGTGGTAGCGATCCGTTTATGCCTGCCCTACTCCATTGGAATGCCGCGCGCACAGTTATATCGAAGAAACTGTCGGTTCCTGAACGCGCACTGTCTCCTAGTGTCTCAGAATGTGCCGCCGCCTGCGCCGCCGGCGAAACAGCCCGAGGTGTGATGGACTGCAGGCAGTAGCAGTATCACCGTGCCATCGCTGCTGTGCTGGTCCTAGGCGGCACTCCCGGTCCCACGCAGCAGTGGCGGCCAACATCACAACATAAACGCCTAACACAGTGACTGGTCCTACCTCTGGTCGCGCTGCGGACGGCCGGATTTCGACGGCTACCGTCGCGACGGCTACCGTCGCGGTCGTCAATCACAATAAAGCCATGCACTGTCTGTGTTCCGGGGGCTGCATAACACCTGTCAAATATATTCTTTAGATATCAAGATGTAAGATGTGTATTTCTTGTAATAGCTCGCAAAGTTTCATAGCTCAACGGCTGGAGCTGCAGGCTATGCCTATATATGCATATATACGCATTGCAGCGTGTGCATGGATCTACGCTTTGCCTAACAGCTCGAAAAGGACTGCCATGGTGCACACTTTTAATCCCAGAAATCGAAAGAGTTGTTCAAGATTCATGTTTAGGCCCTTTTTGGCATATATATACTCCAGGTTTAGAAAGCCGTGGGCATTTTTGTGGGCAAAAAGGGCATTTTAACAGGTTGCTATATGGATTAGTCGTGAAATGTGCGCTGTTGTCGCAATATTTTATACTAGACTTTGGACCCCGGTGTGGGCTATGCCTAAACTCTGCAGATACTAAACATGAATTACCTGAGCAACAATTGTTTCTTTACTTTCATCTGGGAGGCGAAACACGTAATTTAAATGGTCTGCCTGATGTAAACAAGCTGTGCACTTTGCACTCTCTCGCAACTGCAGACCTGTCAGTCTTACCTCATAAGTATGCATGATCTTAGATAAATTTCTTAAGGCCAGTATTAAGTCACACATAGATAGGCATCAATTGATAGATAGTAGTCAGTGTGGTTTTCTTCCTGGTGGGTCCTGTTTGACAAATCTTCTAGAGTTCATGGGTGATGTTACTAATCAGGTAGATAAAGGCAATACTTTGGATGTTGTTTATCTAGATTTTAGTAAGGTGTTTGATAAGGTACCATACCAGCGTGTCTTATATCAGCTTAAGTTGCATGACATTGAGGGAAACATCTTGGCTGGGTAGGGAATTGGCTGCAAGACAGGAAACGGAGAGTAACGCTCCATGCTAATAAATCTCAGTGGACCCTAGAAGAGAGAGAGGTTCCACAAGGGTCGCTGTTGGGCCCTTTGCTCTTTAGCATTTTTGCGAATAATGTTGAAATATGATTAGAAAGTGGGGTGCTCAAATTTGCTGACGATATGAAATTGATAGGAATTCGAAAAATGCAGACCAGGTGAACGTTGGCTTAGAGAATTTAGTGAAATTGTCGCAGTCGCAGTCGTCAGTCGCAGATGTCTGTTAATTGTGATAAGTGTGGGGTGATGTGTATGGGCAGTTTTGGCCTTGAGAACATAAATGATAAAATAGGAGGTCGGTAGTAGGACCAAACCTAGGAAGAAACGGACTTAGGGTTCATAATTTACAGGGATTTAAAAAACTGAAAAGCGATGTAGGGCTGCCAGGAGCAAGGCATTTCGAATGCTGGGACCTATTGACGGGGTTAAAATAACAAGAGCAGGAATGTTGTGAAACATTTGTACTTGGCTTATGTCAGACTACGCCTACAGTATTGTACGTAGGCTT